GAGATGAATGGGAGCATGCAATTTGGTCTCAGGCTTTCTCTGGGTATCCTCTCCTAACACAATCTCTTGGGATGAAAGGCTGGGAAAATTTTAACGTTATTCTGGTTGGCTTCTTGTTCTTGTATGGTGCTTTCTTCCCATGGCATCAGTGTGTTTTTAACCTGCTGAATCTGTGAGATTAAACTCTCTGTGAAATAGGAAGCTTCCCTATGTGTGTGTACACAGTTAAGTCCATACCAACTACTGTAAGACAGTGATATTTCTGACTTTTTCTGTTCAATTTGACAATACCTGTTTATAGCCAGTAACAGAACATGATGTAGTACAGTCTTTGCTGGATTTACAATGTTCAGTATGGTTGAATGCATGCTTTCTTAAATCTCCCAAACTAAATAGATAAGATAACTAATCTTTCAGTGGGTTGTTGATGGAAGCAGAAATGAGTAAAGTAATTAATGGTGCGTGATTCAGTTTGAAAATCAATACAGATTGTATTGAGCCATAAGAGGGGCTGCTAATACTGTAGGTCTGAATCAGCAAGATATGCAAAAAGTGCATCCACTTAACGTAAATTTACCAGGGAGCATTTAAAGAAATCAATAACTAGAGCATTAAAACCAGGTTTACAGGAAACTGCAGGAGAATCATTCAGGTTGGCACCACAAAATATTGATCACTGAGATGCAATGGCAAGGAGCTGCCTAATTTCACTATCCTCAGGAGCAGTCTTTAGAGCTGCCAGCCCCTTGCAGATGGTCTGGGTGTGGAAATGCCTCATAAGCTTAAGAAAATGAAAGGAGACAGCAAGAGCCACCTATTCTGGATGTCTATCAGTATGCCAAGACACTAATCTTTTAAATTTTTAAATCTAGCAGGACAATACTGAAAAGTTATAAACCCTGTGGAAATCTGAGGGGAGCGGCTTTGGCTGGACTTGCCCAGGTCTGATGGGGTTGAATCTGTCTTCTGGTTATTTGCTGTTTTCCATTTTTGTAAAACTAAAGTCCACCTGCGTTCCTCCGACTTTTACAGTAGCACAGTTAAAGCTGAACAAGCTCATGCCATGGGGCTTACTCTGCCATCCGTAGGCTGTAGCAGATGAATAGTTAAGCACAGGCTAAGAAAGGCTGAGAAGCTGTGGTGTCTTCTGGGCTCTGTGGGACACTTTGCATGTGAGCTAAATGAGAGGGTCATGAGCTACTTTGCATTTGTCATGAGGACCTCAGCTGAGGGTGAGCCTGCAGTGAACCGCAGCTACTGTGCAATAATTAGCAAGTTCATACCTTTGCTTACCTTTTTACCGTATGTTATTCACATTTACACTTCCATGGCTGTAGAACTGGATTTTTAAAAGATGGTTGAATGGGAGATTGCTAGAGTTACCACTTTTGCTTTGTACTTGTCAGTAGTGAGGACGTCACAGTGTTTGTTACCCTCCCAGATGTGGCTGGGACTTCTAGCTCATGAGAACTAGGTCTTTTATCCAAGGGGAAGGAATAGTTCTGCTATAAGGATGTTGTTTTCAGGCAACAAATAAGAACTATTTGTTAATCAAACCACTATATATAAACAACAAGCCCTTGAGATATATATTTGCAGAACTACAGTGCTGTACAACGTCACTCTGTGAAATACTTGGCTGCATTCGACACTCCTATAAATGCCAGAAAATCATTGTATATTGTATTTGCATCTGTTTTTCTATCAGCCAAAAATGTGCAGCTGAGATGACAATGAACTCTTTTGTTTGCTCACATTTAATCCTAACCAGCTGGTGGAAAATACAGTTGTGATTTTATATGGAAATGAAAGAATCTGCCTATTAATCAGACATCCTTGAAATGCCATGACCTGGGAGGTAGGAAGCACTTCCACCATTAACAGAGGTCTGAAATTATAGTTGGAGGTGATTTGCACCCACTTGAGTTTTCATTGCTTCTCTTCCATTTTGCGGTAATAGTATAATTCAACAGTTTGGGTGTTTGAGTCCTACCATGTACTTACAGTATTAACTGTGGCGTGGCTCACTGACAGAGGCAGGGCATGATCCTGAAGCCAATGTATGATTGCATCAATATTGTTCACACAATTTTCAGTGGATGCAGGATTGAGTGAGCAAAAATAATCACCTTCTGTTTCGCCTACCCAGACACCAAAGCAACTGAAATTTTAAGCTGTGCTTAAAATTACCATAGGGTTTTCCTCCTCTCCCTTTGTTCCATATGGTGCAGCCTGTCAAACTGTCTTAATGTACAGTTCCATGGATGCCAGCTATCGGAGGCTGTGTGAGGGTTGATGACTGATGCTGAGTTTCATAAGCTGTCTGCTTTGTTCCTTGGCATGTCCTGAGGCAGCATGTCCTGGCACAGCATGACTTTCTGCCAGGTGAGACGATGCACTGTCTCCCACGGATGGAAGCACGCTGCTTTGCTATAGGCTGGTAATGCTGGGGAAATAACAAATAATGGCAAATAAGGAGCAGTGTTTCCTCTGCTCTTGTAGCATCACTAGTAGAATCCATATTACTTGAGAAGAGGAGAAAGACTATACTTGGAATAATAGTTAAAGATTTGTCCATACTGGTGAATGTGAGAGTTCACACATTCCTGGTACACTCATCAAGACTGCCAAAAGGGTTGTCTGAACTTAATTTTTTTTTTATTTTTAGGTGCCTAAATAAATAATATTGGCACAGCATGACTTTCTGCCAGGTGAGACTCTGCACTGTATCCCACGGATGGAAGCATGCTGCTTTGCTATACACTGGTAATGTTGGGAAAATAACAAATAATGGCATTATAAGTAAGGAGCAGCGTTTCTTCTGCTCTTGTAGCATCACTAGTAGAATCCATATTACTTGAGAAGAGGAGAAAGACTATACTTGGAATAATAGTTAAAGATTTGTCCATACTGGTGAATGTGAGAGTTCACACATTCCTGGTACACTCATCAAGACTGCCAAAAGGGTTGTCTGAACTTAATTTTTTTTTTATTTTTAGGTGCCTAAATAAATAATATAACTTCAAAATAGTTGACCAGCCAGCAGATTTTCATTGACTACTTATTTTGACTATTTTATTAGACCTTTGGCTTGTGCACACACTGTTTTATAAAGCTGGGAGTAATCCTTTGATGCTTACCATTGTCTAAAAAGCTCCAGGATACCCCTGCACCACCAGTGAGAAGAGCACCTGGAGCCAGCAGCTGACAAAGCTGCTTATTCTGGCAGATCTCTTGTCTTAGGTGCAGCGGTGTACAAAGGGGTAAGCACTTTAGGAGGTGGAGACCATGAAATTAAATAGTGCTGCTCTGCCCACTTTGATTAAAACTAACGCGTTATTAGCCACAGCATGTCCTGGCACAGCATGACTTTCTGCCAGGTGAGACGATGCACTGTCTCCCACGGATGGAAGCACGCTGCTTTGCTATAGGCTGGTAATGCTGGGGAAATAACAAATAATGGCAAATAAGGAGCAGTGTTTCCTCTGCTCTTGTAGCATCACTAGTAGAATCCATATTACTTGAGAAGAGGAGAAAGACTATACTTGGAATAATAGTTAAAGATTTGTCCATACTGGTGAATGTGAGAGTTCACACATTTGTGGTACACTCATCAGGACTGCCAAAAGGGTTGTCTGAACTTAATTTTTTTTTATTTTTAGGCACCTAAATAAATAATACAACTTCAAAATAGTTGACCAGCCAGCAGATTTCATTGACTACTTATTTTGACTATTTTATTAGACCTTTAGCTTGTGCACACACTGTTTTATAAAGCTGGGAGTAATCCTTTGATGCTTACCATTGTCTAAAAAGCTCCAGGATACCCCTGCACCACCAGTGAGAAGAGCACCTGGAGCCAGCAGCTGACAAAGCTGCTTATTCTGGCAGATCTCTTGTCTTAGGTGCAGCAGTGTACAAAGGGGTAAGCACTTTAGGAGGTGGAGACCATGAAATTAAATAGTGCTGCTCTGCCCACTTTGATTAAAACTAACGCGTTATTAGCCAGTGTTGAGCCTATTTAAAACAAATCAACTCTTTTTTTTTGATCAGACCACACCTGGAAGGATTTGAAGAGTTCCTTCTCCACAGTCCAGGTCCTTCACAGTTCTGTCATTGCACCCCCAGCTCTGATGCTGAGATCTGACAGTAAAAGCAGTGTAGCACAGGGTGTGCGGGCTTGCAAGCCAAGAATTTGTCTCCACATGGACACTGGAAATGCTGAGTCTGCTATAGGGTGTGCTGGTACATTATAGGGTACGTCACTCATCCCGGACAATTCACATATTGACTCTAAGTCTGCAATAGATGAGAATTCAGTATTTGTATATCACGCATTAAAAAAGGCAGGGGAAGGCTTGTAATATACAAATAACATGATTTAATTCACTGAAGCAAAAATGTTTGTCGTCTATAAATATAATTTCATTCACTACAGCAATTGCAATACAATTTTACAACAGGATTGAGAGCTGGGTTTATTGATCACTTTAAATCAATTATGTTGTTGCATACAAATTGGTACAAAACGTCACCCAATCACCTTTATGACTCTCCTGCATCAGTACACATGGAAAGTTGTTCTGTATCATTGCATATTTGTTTAATCAAGCTAATATTTCATCTGCCTCAAGAGTGATAAGGTGGTGAGAACAAACTCAAATTACTGGCAATGATCAACCGATTCATTCTGATCAAAGAGCTAGCTGGAGGATTTATACTTTTTTAAAGCACACAAAGATTTGTTCTCATTTCTAAACATTAGATTTTGCAGAAAGAAAAGAAGATTTCCACTTCAGGCAAAAACATCTTTTGGCACCACAAAACTGACTTCCAAGTTTCAACTTTCCATCCTTGAGAAGAGCTGGTAGAATTTGCTACAGAAATCACTTTGCTTCCACAGGCTTTTTGCATCTTCTGTTTCATTTGCCTTTCTAAGGATTCAGTGTAGAAGATCTTGTGTTCTCCAAGTCAGACAATCATCCCAAATTCCTAAGGAAATGGACTTCTCCAGCTGTGCTGTAGTAAAGAGAACAAATGCAACTGCACACCGCCTCAGGGAGATGGAGTTCAACAGTTCCTCAAATTCGGATAATGCTGTTTTGTACTATTTGCTGGAGGAATGGGCTCTCAACCCACCAGGCATGAACATGAAGATGTTTTTAATCCCTCCAGTCGTCTGCCTCGTGGCAGGTGTCCTTATCATCCCTACCATCTTGTTTGCGATCTTCTCTAGGTTTAGTATCCGGCAGGAAACAAGGTACATGCTGCTGGGAAACGCTCTGCTTGCTGATCTGATCTACCTGTTGTTCTACACCCTGTCTGCTGCTCTCAACACAGCACATGTCCCTCTCCCAAAGGAAGCTTGTGTCCTCCTGTTATTTCTGCTGGCGGTGGCTTACTGTGGAGGATTGTTCACAGCTGCTGCCATGGTCTCGGACACGTACATAGCTATTTTGTTTCCTTTGCGCTACATTGCTATTATGCCGCCTGCACGAACAAAAAAAATTATTGTCTTACTCTGGATGTATTCTGGGGCTTTCCCTGGGATTTTCTTCTTGGTGCTATCAAGCACTCACAGCTTTGTGCCCTGTGTCCTGGAAATGTGCTCGGTTCCAGTAATACTAATCCTGACTCTGAACGGCACTGATGCTGTGAAACTCTGTTTCTGGCTTTCTACCACGGTTATCATTCTCTGCCTGTCTCTAATATTTTGTTGCTATGTTATTCTGTATTTTAAAACCAAACAATCGGGTATATGGGAGAGCATCTGCTCCAGAGCCAGTGTAACATTCTTAATGCACAACACTGTGTTATTTTTTTACTTCTTTCCACTCTTGGCCCTGTTTATTGAATCATTCTTCTGCATTAATGTTGTCACTAGAGTGAAGACTGGCATCTGGGTCTCCCTGACAGTCTGCAATGTCCTGATGATTCTGCCTAAAGTTTTGTTTCCTTTTCTGTATGGGCTTCGATACAGAGAGATCTCAGCATCTCTCAAATCCATTGTCAGAAGGAAGCATCCTCACCCGGTGTCACCTGCTCCATCACCATCCTGAGCCAATGCAGAGCACAGCCACAGCAGAGGAGTTGTCCTTACCTTGATAGCATGCAAGCCTGATGGAAATCACTCAGCTTCTGTAGAAGTAGTGATCAACCCATATCAGAGAAGACATGGCTTTATTTCTCTGTCTCCTTGGTGCCAGAAGGCCATGGATCTTTCATCACATCACAGCTGAGAATACAGCAAATACTACCCTGGACAAAGGTCTAAGCTTTGTTCTGATGTGGGAGGGCAGTATATTTTTGAGGAGATACTGAATCAAGATAATTTTTCACCCACCTGTGGCAGATGTCTTTCTGGAAAATAGAAAATGAAAAATAGATTATTCAAAGCAAAGGGAGTAACCACAGGTCTCCTGGCAGCATCACCTACAGCAGAGAGGATCCTTAATCAAACGTGTTGTGAACACAACAGCTATTTTTTTTTGCTCAAGTGTATTCTTGCAAGGTTGGTAGCCAATGTTGTGTTCTTTAAAACATACACTGGAAGGTGCTTCTAGAAACTGCTGTACTCAGTGAAATACTGTGTTTCATCTTGTGCAGTGTTGCTAGCATGTTAGCTGCCTCGTGGATTCTGTATGACAATCTGAAAACCTCTGCATTTTCATAAAATTTCAATATGATGGAAAGTCACCTTTGATCAGCGTATGTTGGGCCACCCAGCACATGATGCTGTCAGTGAGTAACAGAGATGGGCTGCTCGGTGAGGGAAAATGAACCAAGTGAGCACAGCGCGTGGCCACAGGGAGCCTGGGTCAGCCCTGAGCCCCACTGATTTGGTACTGGGGCAGCAGGGCAGGAGCAGTGCGACACGAGGCTGGGCACAGGTCTGCCCATAGCATGGCCATACGTGACCCGGGGTGAGGGTCTGAGTGTGAGCACTGCTCCTGAGTCCCTGCCGAGGCATCTCCCAGCTCTGTCGCGCATCGATCGTCTCCAGCAGCCTGATCCCAGGTTATGGGTGCACCATATCAGAGCTGGTATTGGGCACCTGCCACCAAACCCCTAGGAAGGTCAGGAGAAAAGGCTGCAGAGCATGTTGATGTACTCAGGGGCAAGAAAGATATCTTTTAAGAGCCTTTTAGAGTTTCCAGATCAGCTGTGTACAGATAGAAGACAAATGAAATGTTTTTTATAATCTTTAAAGAACCGAAAATTTCATTAAATCTAAATGTCAGTGTGAGAAATTTAAATTGCAGTGCCATTCCTTGGACTTGAGAAACAAGCATTGTATTTTTGAAGAGGATATTTTTAGAATTTGTTACTTTAGAAATATAAACATACATTGGGCTTTTAAAAAAAGGCATTAGAAAACAGCCCTTGATTTCACTCTGTGCAGTGTTTTACTTGTGTGCAAACTCCCTTCACCTTCTGTTTGCTTAAAGCGCTACACAGAAAGTGCTGAATGTGGCTTTTGGGTATTATTTCACACTCGTCTGAAGAATTCCACTAAGTGTCAGCCAGGAGGAGATGGGTGTCTGGTTGCGTGAGATGTTTTTTGGAGATGAAGCCTGTTTGAGAAGTTCCTGCTTATCTCTTTCTCTCCCCGTTCCCAAACTGCTTGCTACTCTCCTCACATTGCAGTGTCTGCTCTCTCCGGTTTGCTGATACAACTGCTTCTGGGGTTGCAGGTTAAAAATATCCCCCCAGGGAGAAGCGGTGTTGTTTTCATTTTAACCAAGATTATCCCAGAGATCTGTTTTATAGCATGTTCTGCAAACAGCTGTGTCAGCACAATTGAGGGGGTAACAAATTCCAGGTCAGAGACAGGAATGAGCAGGGACATCTTAGAGGCTTTGCTGCGAAGGGACACTTCTTGTGTAAGAGCATCTTTAAGCTGAAGTTGCAGCAGGTGAATAAACGGTATTACTGTGTATTTGCTTTAACCATGGTTCTGTGCTTCCCCTATTTTGACCCAAAGAAATATTAAATTCCTGAGTAATGGCTTTGTTTTTCAGAAAAAAACCCACTACGTTTCTTCTCAATCCTCTTCAATAAAAAAAAATTAGGACCAAAAGGTTGCTTTTTACTGGCTGCTTTTCTTTTTCTCCGAGATGAATGTACCATAGACATACAGCACACACGCTGTGTTTGTATAAAGATCTTAGATTCAGCCCACAACAGAGCTCTTCCATAACAGTAGGATGGATGGGGAAAATGTTGATATATTAGATCCGGTGCCTTCTGCTAAATCCCTTTAGCATGTGGTACGATCAAGGGTGAAAGAGGTTCCAGTAACTCCCCAGGCCACTCATATCCTGGGCCAAATCTTTATGCCAATGCCCCTTGGCAAAGCTGCTGATAACTAACAGGTTGTTTTGTCCATGCAAGATTCTTTCAAGCTTTATTACCTGAAATTTACCTATATTGTAAGTTTTCACGCTAAGTAGTAAAGATAACTGTGTATATAGTATAAAGTAAGGTAGTTCTATATACAGCCAGAGGTGACCTTGAATAGCTGCAGGTTAATAATATTTGATCTTCCTGCTAGCCTCTGTCAATTATTGAAGTTAATCTCCAGGACAAACTCTGATGGGATTATATTGCCAATTCTGTAATGTTTTCTTACATACACATTCCCTGGATATATTTAGAGACAACTGGAAGTTTGGTAACATAAAGAAGGATACTGAAAGGAGAAGGAAGTGAATTGATGATCGTGGCAAGTTTATGTGTGTATGAAATCTGTCTACAGGGATATAAGAACCAAGCAAACAAAACCCAAATCTGTCTACAGGGATATAAGAACCAAGCTTTGTGCTTTGTGGAAACAGCCTTCTAAGAAAGATGAATTAAATAATCTTATTCATGTCCTTGAAATTGTTCCCTAAAATGGATGTTTGCCCAGAAAAGATTATAGTGGAACTGAAATGGTTAAGTTGAAGGGAATTTTAAAAAGGTCATGCACATTGGGAGTTGAGGATATTTTATTAATCCACTTTAATTTGGTTTCACGTTAGTTGGATAAGATTTTTCTTAAGTGACTGCTTGTAGACATCTTGCCATGGAATGTTACTGTGCTGTTTGGTACAGAAGCAGTATGTTACAGCATGCATAGAAGAAATACACCATACACACCTGAATCATTTCCCTTTTGGGGATTTCCCCAAACTGTCTGAATAGGACCAAAGGAGTCACCAGGGCAGTATCACAAGCGCTAGGTTCCTATAATTCTCTTCATAAATGTCTTTGAGTTTTGTCTTAAAGATTGTTTGGTGCTTTTTTTTAATTTTTTGCCAGAACCTCAGGGCTGCAGTGATTAGCAACCTTGTAAGGATGTCTCCAGATAAGCTCTGGAAATTCAAACTGAGACTATTTACCGGAGCCCAGCTATCGACCTTTCCGAGGTCACATTAGTGGACTTCTTGGATGTCACTGTGCCTGCCCAGCATTTTAATTTAAAGTGAAATGGAGAGCAGTTGGCTTTAACATGTGATTTGGCAGCTGGGGGCAGTAATCCCTTCATAAATTGCAATAGCATGAATCACCAAGGTGATACTAATTTATAGCCTAAATATATTCCTGGTCAGTTTTTCCCCTCTTTTCTTGTGCCAATGTTGTGGCTTAGCTTACCGCTGCTCTCTCCCCTCTCCCAGTTGGACCGATAGTGCTGCCGACTGCTGTCTTCAACCTGCAGACTGGAGGGAGTCAGACCTCATTCCAGGGGCTGGGTCCGTGCCATTAACCACTGGAGAACTAAATAAATCTGCAGTTAGGTCTGTGCCTCACATGAGATCAGTTTCAGTGTCACAAGTTGCAGAGAATCTCCAGGCAGGTAAACAAGCTTTGGATTTGAGCTTTAGTTCGTTTGCAAGGACTTGAGTAATTATTCAGTAAAACTAATTAACCTCCTGCCGTTTTAGTAATTAATACTAGAGCGTCTACTCCTGCTCCATTAGCTGGCTGTTTCATTTTCCAAGGGAAGTTTAATATAGTAATAGGTCAGAAGGCAACTGGCATTTGCCTGGTTGCACTCGAGGCAACCCCGGGGCTGTGTCCCAACGCTGGGGGACAGCATGGGCTGCCCCTGGGACGGGTCACGCAGCTCCCACAGGGACTCCTCTGCTCTTTGCTTCACTAGTGGCTGGTTTTGTACACCGAGACACTGTATGTATGTATGTTTGGACAGAACCCGTGGTTGTGGCCATTCCCTGTGGGAGGGGATGTATGCGTATGACCCTCTTCAATAAAACCCTGATAGGAAAAGGAAACCACAAGTTTCAAGGAAACTTGGTTTCTGTTGTCTCCTGTCTCCACCCCCACCTCACTGTTAGTAACTGAAGGCACAGCACTGTGAGTTCTTACCATTTTTTCACAAGCCTCGTGATTTTTGGCTTCTTTATAAAACTACTGATCCGGAATGTTTTTGTTTTTCACTATGCTTTGAGTCCTTCAGATTGCAACACGAATCTGAAAGGTACAAAGAGCAAGGAGGCAGATAAAAACAACTCTCTCTGTGCTGCTATTAAAACGTCAGAGTTTTTGAGAGGCTCTCATGAATTAGGAGCGGGAAAGGAGCCAAGCTGTGTGATTCTGCCGTCTCGTGTTTGTCACTGAGGGATGGTCTGGCTCGTGCTTGCCCAAGGTCTGCAGGTGTGGCTGGGGAACCGCCACAGCAGAGACAAGAGGCTGTTGTCTGATATGCAGAGCTAAGAATTTGTATTTGGAAGTTTATTTGGACAACTTTCTTCCAGCTCAGTGGATTATTTTTCTCAAGCAGAAAACCACATGTTTTGCTACTGATATTGCAGGGAGAAAACCAGCAGCCAGCTCCTGAAGGCTACTGGTTTTTAGAATGCTTCCCAGTAGGAAGAACTGGCCAGCTTCACAGATGAGAGAGAACCCCTGATAGGAAAAGGAAACCACAAGTTTCAAGGAAACTTGGTTTCTGTTGTCTCCTGTCTCCACCCCCACCTCACTGTTAGTAACTGAAGGCACAGCACTGTGAGTTCTTACCATTTTTTCACAAGCCTCGTGATTTTTGGCTTCTTTATAA